TCTTGTCTGCCATCTGCTGGACACTTTTTGTTGTGCTCATATTTAGACGTCCTATTTTGCAAATGCTGCCTTCCTGAAATTTGGTATGCTTGTTTCTCTTTTTGTCTATGCTGCATAATGATGTGATTGTGATGCTGTATTTCTGAGTGTTTTATGTGCTGCAGAACAGGAACCTGCTGTAAAACAGCAATTATGCAGAGTCAGGCTTGATTTTTAATAATCTTTTCCTGTAAAATCAATAAATCAAATCAAATCACCTTATCTTGAATTATAATGAAATCAAGCATGAATTAGAAATAACGGCATTTAGATTAGATTTACGCATGTAGATTTTCACACTTTATAAAACCACAAATAGTTTATGAATCAATTTATGAAATGTCTGAGCATATGTCCAACTTTCTTCAAGTGCATGGGCTAAAAACAAAAAGAAAACATAGGCCACAGTACTAACTGTTTGCTTAGTCATAAGTAAAATGACTTTACTTCAGAAGTATTTGTACTTCATGTTTTATCTTTCTACATTTGGCCTGCAGCCCTCAGATAGATTTCATTTAGTCTCTCTCAGGGAAACAGTTTGGGCACTTCTGGTATATCCAGGCAGCTGAATATAGAACTGCCAAGGAGAAAAAAAGAAAGTCCATAGAAAAAGTTCATGGATGTAGTTCAGGAGAATATGGTCAGTGTTGATGTGGAATAGCAGATAACAATAGAATGAGAGGAAAGCAGACCTGCTGTGGTAACCTCTAAAAGAAGCAGCTGAAAGAAAAATAAGTCGATATTGGCAGGTTGTTGCTAAACCCCCCCCCCCCTTTTTTTTCATAAGGTATGATTAAGGAGAGTGATTCCACTCTACTCTGAGTGGAATCAATCTTACTTTAATAAAAACACCAGCAGAAACAAGTTTTCTGCATTGTGCTTACTGATTAAAATAATTAAACACACTGATTGACACATCTTTGTTCTTTTTCAAACTAAAGAACTGCTGCTGCAGACTCACTGGACAAATCACAAGATTTACAAAGGAGTGAAGTCAATCATTTTACCATTAAATTCAAAAACATTCAAAAGATTTTGAAAAGTGGATCAAATTGTTTTATTATTTGATTTTTTTAAGGAATTCAGTGTATATTCAGGCTTTGATTCTTGAATATGAATCATCAGTACTTAATAGTTTGCTGAGCTTTCGAGCACTGGTATTTCCATATAAATAAAGATAAGTACAGTTTTTAATTATTCTTGACTCCAATAAGAAATATAAAAATGAAGAAGAAATAAACAGGCTTACCAACATTTTTTAAGAAAATGTGTACTTTATGTGGTTGTAAAAATGGCATATGTGGCAACCGTGCACCTAAAAATCAATGGAGGGCAGTAGAAGCCTGCTAATATAACCAACTGTATGTATTTAACAGACATGTATGTAATCTGAATTTATTCATGTGTGTTAGTTACAGGCTTCTGTTGTGCACGAGGACCCAAGTTCATTCTGCGCTTAAAGGAGCAACATGAGACCTGACTCAAGTGGATGCAGAAGTTCTCAAATGTAGATTTTTCCTTTTTGACTGGAGAGAAAATATTTACTTTTGTAGTACTCTGTTTTGGGATTGAGCAATTTGCAAGGCTTTGAGCAGATGACAACTCGTGGCCCAGTTCCTGCCAGCAAGGCGAGGCAAAACAGGGCCAGAAGGCACTCTCACAGCTTCAGACCTCAGCATGATGCAGGCGGCATCAAAGCAGCGCCGCCGACACTTCCTCAGAGAGAGCCGGGGGAGGGGGCACCGCCAGGGGGATGACGGCCTATCTCTCACTGCTTTTCTCTTCCTCCTCTCATTCTTCCCCTCACCACCATCAAACCCCCTCCTCCTCCTGCTCCAGCTCCAGCCAGCTGTCAGTGGGAGTATGCTGTAGCACTGCACTCTGTCACACACACTAACTGGAGAGCGAGGCTGGCGAGGGGAGGATAGAGAGATGTGAATGTGGTGACAGTGGACTGATTGGGCAATGTATACAGCCGAAGAGAAAACATCAGGAGGAACAACAGCAGATACGGGACGAAAGATGGGACAAATAGAAACACGGGAGGGTGATTGCTTGAGACAAAATGACCGGGGAGTTGAAGGTTCAGATAAGAGAAAAGGGAAGATTGGCACAAAAGCACAGGATGGAAAATGGGGGTTAGGAAAACAACACAAGGAAACAGAATGACAGAAACAACATCCAGGAGAAGTCTGGCTTTGCTGCTCTGCAAGTTCATTTTTTTGTGAAGTAAAGCAAAATTATTTTTATTTTACCATCACATTAAACGTGCCTCATAAAAACTGCACACGCTCACTACGGCGTTCACTTCACTCTATGATTATATTCCAAATAATAGCACAATGGACCATTAGTTTCAGCAGTGAAGACGATGGTGTTTCTATTCTCTCCATGTGTTCAGTAAATGATCAAATTAAGATGCATGAGTGTGCTTTTCTATCTGTCACACTTGCTGTGCACAGAGGGATCTCCGGCCTGACTCCTTTAAAGAAAGCTGTGTGTCTGTGAGACACTGTCAGTGTGTTCACTGTGCTAAATGACACATGTGAAAACTTTCAAATGGCTTTCTGATCATTCTGAAGTGGTCTTCTGTAAAAAGTTTTTTTTTTAACAATTATTAGTTGTAGATGGCTCTTTGGAAGGTCCCAGTTTAAGGAAAATTTAATTTAAGTTGACAGGACTGACAAGTTAATGGGCGCTTCAGATGCAGCCAAGACTGGAGTGAGTTCCATTTTCATAAACTACTACACCATCACACATTTCTTAATTCACAGTTTTCCATATAAAATAGCAGTAGCTAGCTTTAGCACATCTAGACTGGAGTCATTTATGGCAGATGTTTCATAAAGTTCCTGCTAAAAGAAGTATAATAATACAATCATTGAACCATATATTGTTAAATTGATGGTAATGGCAACTAATAGTGTTTGTAACAACAGCAAGGAAATGATGAAGTGGGTAAGCTCAGATTGTTTTGAAAAACAAAAACTAATACTCACTTGTAAGGCCTATTTCATAGACATGGCTTGTTTCTGCTTTCATTACACAGTAATTTCAGTAGAATTATTGTGTCATTGCTGATGAAACTGACAACAGGCTGCACTAGAAATGATACACTCCTTTGTAGCTGTAGTAGATGCTTGCAGATAACCAGAAAATTCAAAGTAAATAACTGTGAATTGAGGAAATGATGATTGCGCAACCGTCTATTAAACAGTTTGCATGAACATGTATTGGAAACTGCAGCTGGTTTAGGGCACTACCAATCCTCTGTTCTCAACTGCATTTCAGAATCAGAACCAGAATACTTTATTGATCCCTGGGTGGAAATGGCAATTATTACAGCTGCAACCGTTCAAGTAAGCATTAGAGATAAAAAAGAAAAATATATTAGAGCACACAAGGAAGTAAATATAATATAAAGGAAATGTAAAGGAAAAAAATAATAGAACACACAAGGAAGAAATAAGTATAAACACCATGGGGAACTAAATGAACACATAAAAAGTATTTACATCTGATCAACTTCCAATCACTCATGAAGAAAAATGTTCCTCATGACTCAATTGATAAAAAAAATGTATAGTCAAAGCACTCCACAGACGTTTCTACTCAAATTTTTTAGACATTTCCTCATTAAAAAATAACTATTTCTTCTGCTGAACCACCTCATAACAACATTTTTTTCAGCAAGTATTGCTATCTTTGCTATCTAGTTGAAAAACAAAAACTCCAGAAAATAACTTAATATAACTGAATGTGGAGAAATCACAGATTTACCCAGTTGATCAAAAGACGTGTCAGTCAAAAGGGTGGGGCATACACTGTTATGATTCTGTCCCTGTCTGCCCAGATCATGCCTCGGTTTAGTTTTATTATCTTATTTCATGATCCAGTTTCTCCTCATAGTCTTGTTCCCAGCCTTACAGCTCACATCCAGCTCCTGCTCAATGCTCTCGCCCCTCCCTTCATAGAAACCCTAATCAAGCTCATTTCACTCACCTGTTTCCTGCAGTATATAATCCAGTCTCACTCTCCAGTTCACTGCCAGATTATCCTCAGTTTGCCTGTGGTTCTCCAACGTTTTCATCCATATCTCATTTTTGCCTCTTGATCCCGACCTTGTTCTTGTCCCCTGGTTCAACGATTCTCGCCTCAGCCCCTAACGGATTATACCTGCCATCTGCTTTACCGGTAACGACTCACGCCTTGCTTCTTGGACTCCTGCTCTTTGCCTCACCCCTGATCGGTACCTCCAGCCATCTGACCACCTGGATCTCGACCCACGCCTGTATCACAGATTATCAGAACTAGCCTTTTGGACCCAAACACTCCAACCAAACTAACGGTGGCGTCACCGCACTGTGCTGGAACGCAAACCCTTCCATCAATGTTTCCGTCTGGAGTCCTTCAACTGGAAACAGGTTAGTGGCTTTAATTCTTTGGAAAGTCCTCCTATATTGTTCTGCCACTAATCTGAATTTCCTGTGTTTAGATCTGACGAGAATCCGGTCCAAGCACTTCCTGGTTCATTCACCTCTGCACAATAAACTTTGTAAAACTTTGTCTTGGTCCGGTGCTTATTCAGAACTCAAAACTCGGTTCTTATCAGATAATCTGGCCACTTTGAGTTCTGAACTGGACCAGACTTGGAGAAATAAAGTTGAAGGAGCTATTATTGATTTGGAGCGTAATGTTGAGGATCTCTGTGGTATGATCAAGACACTAAGTACCTCTCTTAATGCAACAGCTCCCCCTGCTGTTCAACAGCAGGTATCACCATCAGCTGATTCAGCTATTAACAGAAGCACTCATGAAACCCGTCTCTGTCCTCCTAAACAATACAGTGGTGATCCTGATCAGTGTTGTGCATTTTTAACACAATGTGAAATTCATTTTCAGTTACAGCCTTCCTCTTTCACTACCGATCGTTCCAAGGTAGCATTTGTTAAATCACTCCTTTCAGGCAAAGCCAAGTTATGGGGAACTGCAGAGTGGCAACGGGACATGTATATCTGCCACAATGACACATATTTTGCCTTTGAATTACAGAGGGTCTTCAGTCCTTTTTTGCCCCACTGAGAATCCACCAGGGGACTTCTTGCACTAAAACAAGGAAATAAACGGGTCACAGAATTCATTATCGACTTTCACACCCTAGACAGCAGGTGGAATGAAGAGGCTCTCCAAGATGTTTTCCTCCAAGCTCTCAACGAAGACATCAAGGATGAGTTGGCCACAAGGGATCCACCTCACTCTCTGAAAGAACTGGAGGGCTTGGCTACCAGAATCGATCTCAGTCTCCATGAATGCAGAATGACTAGGAGAGGTAACCAGAGAGCAACTAATAGATCTGTTTTTCAACATTCTATTGAATCAGGAAGAGGCAGAACCCAGTTTCTGCCTTCAAGTCTTGAGAGAAATGTGGAGGAACCCATGCAGATTGGCAGGTCTGAGATTATTCCAGAGGAGAGGATTCGCAGAGTAAGAGAGGGGCTTTGTTTCTACTGTGGAGATTCTAATCACATGGTCCATTCCTGTCCTAAGAAGACCACAGGTAGAAGCAAGGCGATGAGTCACGATCTCAGTCCAGCCACAGCGAGTCAGACACTCTTACAGCTTCCGGCTGACTTAACTGTGGCAGGTAAGACACTACCTATTAAGGTATTTATAGATTCTGGAGCTGACACAGAGTTCAATGGGCCTCATGCAAGAACCGTTCGTACGCACAGATTTGTTAAGTTGTGCGTACGAGTGATTTAGGAGAATTTGTGGCATTCACCAATGTTTTTGTATTCTAAGATTTTTTTTCAGATACGAACAAAATTCACGAGTGGTCCAGACCTGTCGTATATTTTACGAGCAGTCAGTCTGCTGTTATCCAGACGGATTTTCTTCACTAATAACTTTATATTTCGTTAGTTTGAAGATATTTTGAGTTGAAAATAAATYACACTCCATAATTATGTTGACAATAGGCTATTCTGCTTGAATTAGAGTTATAATTTTAAATGTAATACTTTAGACTAACAATATAAATTGTCCATCGGGCTGGCTCATCCGGGATCGGGTCTCAGAGCAGCAGCAGAGAGATCCAGACTTACCTCTCCCCAGCGACACTTTCCAGCTCGTCCTGGGGGACTCTGAGACATTCCCAGGCCAGAGGGTATACATAATCCCTCCAGCGAGTCCTGGATTTTCTCCAAAGTGCCAGACATATTTTGAAAACATTTTAAAATACTTATTTCAGAACCGCAACTGAGACCACTTGAGACCGCGTGGGGGTTACGGTGAGCAACGGTGGCTTCTGAATAAATAAAAAGGATTTAACACAGATGTTTATACTTTTAGAAGCTCTTTTTATTCCACAGCTGACCTGCTAAAAATGACAGATTTTCTTTTCTGGATCTCTGAGAGCAGGACTTCAATCTCTGAACTTGTAAAGTTCTTCTTTTTACTTTTCGGTGTCATTTTCATGAATGGACACTTCCTTGTATCTGAGGCAGGAAACATAGCCTTATATGGTGTTTTTGGGGTGGTAATTATGCTAATCTCCTCTCGCGTGCACAAGCAGCTGGATACGAACAGGTGGAATTTACGCAGCTCATTTACACCCTTTTCCCGAGGATAGAAGAGTTTGTTGAATCTGACGTGGCATGTTCGTACGAACCCTTTGTACAAACAAAAGTAATAGAAATTTAGAATAAGAATACGAACATGTTCTTGCATGAGGCCCATTGATTCTGATTTTGCAACTTCTTTGGAATTACAGATAAAGCCTTCAAAGATGAAGCATCATGTCTTGGCTCTTGATGGACACCAATTGGACAACACCAGTTCAGAGACAGATCCGATAACTATTACCACGGGAGGTAACCACCATGTGACCATAAGTTTCCTGGTAATAAACTCACCCCAACTCCCCATCATTCTTGGAGCCACTTGGCTAAACAAACACAACCCTCACATTGATTGGAGAAAGAAGGAGGTTTTAGGTTGGTCGGAGGAGTGTTTATCTACTTGCTTGCTTAATGCTGTTAACACCAGAGAATCTGAAAAAAATAAAAGATCCTACTATTAACCTTTCCAATGTGCCTCCCGAGTATCATGATTTAAAGAAAGTGTTCAATAAAGCAAAGGCAACTTCTCTGTCCCCCCACAGACCTTACGACTGTCCCGTAGATTTATTACATGCTACCACTCCACCAAATGGAAAATTATATTCTTTGTCACCGCCTGAGACCCAAGCTATGAAAGATTATATTGATGAATCGTTGAGATCAGGTATAATCCGTCCTTCTTCCTCACCAGCTGGAGCTGGTTTCTTCTTTGTTGGTAAAAAGGACAGTTCACTACGTCTGTGTATAGATTACAGGGATTAAACAACATCACTGTCAAAAATTGTTATCCCTTACCATTAATGAACACTGCCTTTGGTCTGATTCAGGAAGCCAAGGTTTTTACCAAATTAGATCTTCGTAATGCTTATCACCTAGTCCGTATCAGAGAAGGAGTTGAGTGGAAGACGGCCTTTAACACACCATCTGGACACTACGAATATCTGGTCATGCCTTTTGGGCTAACTAATGCCCCTGCAGTCTTTCAGAACCTGGTCAATGATGTTCTAAGAGACTTTATTAATGTTAATGCCTTTGTGTGTTTAGATGACATCCTAATTTTTTTCGAAAGATTTAAAGACCCATCAGAATCATGTCCATGCCATCCTTCTCCATCTGTTACAAAATAAACTTTTTGTTAAAGCTGAGAAATGTGAATTTCACACGACTGAGACCACTTTCCTTGGCTTCAAAGTATCACCTGGACAGATTGCTATGGGTCCCACTAAGGTGGCAGCAGTAAAGGATTGGCTCATACCACAGACTAGTAAACAGCTACAAAGATTTCTCGGGTTTGCAAACTTTTACCGGTGTTTTATTAAGAACTTTAGCTCCATTGCGTCACCTCTTAACAGACTGACCTCTGGTAAGACCAAGTATGTTTGGAATCAGGATGCAGAGAAAGCATTTTCAAAACTAAGAACTATGTTCACATCTGCACCAGTCCTTCTCTTCCCCAGCACAGAACTTCAGTTTATTGTGGAGGTTGACGCCTCTAACACCGGTGTTGGAGCCATACTCAGTCAACGCTTCTCAGATAATAAAGTACACCCTTGTGCTTTCTTCTCTAAGTCCTTGTCCCCAGCAGAGAAGAACTATGATGTCGGCGATCGAGAATTACTGGCAGTCAAGTTGGCTCTCGAAGAATGGAGACACTGGTTGGAGGGGGCCAAACAACAGTTTATTGTTCTCATGGATCATAAGAACTTGGAGTATCTGAAAGACGCCAAAAGACTAAATCCTTGACAAGCCAGGTGGGCACTCTTTTTCTGTCGTTTTGACTTCACTTTGTCTTACAGACCCGGGACAAAGAATACCAAGCCAGATGCCCTGTCTAGAGTTTTCAAGCCTGACCAGACCAGTGGCAGCCAGGGAGGATTCATTCTACTAGATTCAGTTGGTCTTACTATTACCCAAGTCAAGGAAGGTGGTCAGGGAGGCCCACCAGAACCACCCTCCTCCAGATGATTGCCCAGATGGTGAGCTCTATGTACCTGATCATCTTGTGGCTAAGGTCATTGAGTTTTGTCATGCCTCAAGCCTTTTCTGTCATCCTGGAATCACAAAGACAACCAAGTTAGTTAGGTCCCAGTTTTGGTGGGGTTCCCTGGAAAGGGACATTAGAGAATACATTGGGTCTTGCATCCAATGTTCCCTGACCAAACCTTCTTGGTGTCCACCAGCGGGTCTCCTCAGGCTGCTCCCCATCCCATCTCGTCCATGGTCACATATCGCCATGGATTATGTGACAGGTCTGCCGCAGTCTGAGGGTAAGACAGTCATCCTAACTGTGGTGGATCGTTTTTCCAAGATGGTACACCTGATAGCCCTGAACAAGTTGCCAACTGCTAAATAACTAAGCCATGTGTTCATTAAGGAGGTCTTCAGACCACATGGCCTACCTAAGAATATTGTTTCAGATCGTGGTCCACAGTTTATCTCTGGCTTTTGGAAAGAGTTCTGTTCTATGCTTGGCATAACACTGAGTTTGTCTTCAGGATTTCACCCTTAGACTGACGGCCAGACAGAGTGAGCAAACCAAGAACTGGAGATCCGCCTAAGAATACCGTGTGGCAACAATCCAACCAAGTGGGTTGAGAACCTCTCCCTGGTGGAACACGCTATCAACATCCTTCCCGCAAGTGCCACTGGTCTTTCCCCCTACTACGTTGTCAATGGATTTCAGCCACCAGTCTTCACTGTCCATGCACAGGCTGCTAGAATTCCTTCAGCACATCAAGCAGCTTTAAGATGTCAGCAAGTTTGGAGAGCTGCCAGAAAGGAGCTACACAAATCTTCCTTGGTGGCATCAAGAACAGCCAACCGTAGGATTCCTGCTCCCCATTACAAGGTTGGGGACCAAGTTTGGTTGGCCACGAAAGATTTACCTCTCAGGGTAGAATGCCACAAATTAGATCCTCACTTTGTGGGTCCCTTTCCTATCTCT